CAGGTCAGAGTCATATAGAAACTTCAGGTCATGGTCAGAGTCATATAGAAACTTCAGGTCAGAGTCATATAGAAATTTCAGGACATGGTCAGAGTCATATAGAAACTTCAGGTCAGAGTCATATAGAAACTTCAGGTCATGGTCAGAGTCATATAGAAACAATCAGGTCAGAGTCATATAGAAACTTCAGGACATGGTCAGTACAGATAATTCCCCACCGCTCACTCAGTTTTTTCTGTCCCAGAGATGAAATGTGTCCAAAATAACACAGGAAAGTCCGTTAAGAAAGAAGTCTGCGATCTCAGCTCCTACAAGTGGCACGTGTGGTTTGTTTGTCTCCGCGGGTGGACATCTCGCACTTCTGCTTTCCATCCCTATTGGGTCTAGAATTTATGTTTTTAGACACGTCGTGTTCTACACTTTGTGTCCATGTAGAAACTTCAGGTCAGAGTCATGTAGAAAAAACTTCAGGTCAGAGTCATATAGAAACTTCAGGTCAGAGTCATATAGAAACTTCAGGTCAGAGTCATATAGAAACTTCAGGTCAGAGTCATGTAGAAACTTCAGGTCATAAAGAGTCATAAAGAAACTTCAGGTCAGAGTCATAAAGAAACTTCAGGTCAGAGTCATAAAGAAACTTCAGGTCAGAGTCATAAAAGAAACTTCAGGTCAGAGTCATATAGAAACTTCAGTCAGAGTCATGGTTCAGGTCAGAGTCATATAGAAACTTCAGGTCAGAGTCATATAGAAACTTCAGGTCAGAGTCATAAAGAAACTTCAGGTCAGGTCAGAGTCATATAGAAACTTCATATAAGAAACTTCAGGTCAGAGTCATAAAGAAACTCTCAGAAACTTCAGGTCAGAGTCAGAGTCAGGTCAGAGTCCATAAAGAAACTTCAGGTCAGAGTCAGTCATAGAGTAGAAAAACTTCAGGTCATAAAGAAACTTCAGGTCAGGTCAGAGTCATATAGAAACTTCAGGTCAGAGTCATATAGAAACTTCAGGTCAGAGTCATATAGAAACTTCAGGTCATGGTCAGAGTCATATAGAAACTTCAGGTCAGAGTCATATAGAAACTTCAGAACATGGTCAGAGTCATATAGAAACTTCAGGTCAGAGTCATATAGAAACTTCAGGTCATGGTCAGAGTCATATTGAAACTTCAGGTCAGAGTCATATAGAAACTTCAGGTCATGGTCAGAGTCATATAGAAACTTCAGGTCAGAGTCATATAGAAACTTCAGGTCATGGTCAGAGTCATATAGAAACTTCAGGTCAGAGTCATATAGAAACTTCAGGACATGGTCATACAGATAATTCCCACCGCTCACTCAGTTTTTCTGTCCCAGAGATGAAATGTGTCCAAAATAACACAGGAAAGTCCGTTAAGAAAGAAGTCTGCGATCTCAGCTCCTACAAGTGGCACGTGTGGTTTGTTTGTCTCCGGGTGGACATCTCGACACTTCTGCTTTCCAGCCCTATTGGGTCTAGAATTTATGTTTTTAGACACGTCGTGTTCTACACTTTGTGTCATGTAGAAACTTCAGGTCAGAGTCATGTAGAAACTTCAGGTCAGAGTCATATAGAAACTTCAGGTCAGAGTCATATAGAAACTTCAGGTCAGAGTCATGTAGAAACTTCAGGTCAGAGTCATATAGAAACTTCAGGTCAGAGTCATGTAGAAACTTCAGGTCAGAGTCATGTAGAAACTTCAGGTCAGAGTCATATAGAAACTTCAGGTCATGGTCAGAGTCATATAGAAACTTCAGGTCAGAGTCATATAGAAACTTCAGGTCATGGTCAGAGTCATATAGAAACTTCAGGTCAGAGTCATATAGAAACTTCAGGTCATGGTCAGAGTCATATAGAAACTTCAGGTCAGAGTCATATAGAAACTTCAGGACATGGTCAGTACAGATAATTCCCACCGCTCACTCAGTTTTTCTGTCCCAGAGATGAAATGTGTCCAAAATAACACAGGAAAGTCCGTTAAGAAAGAAGTCTGCGATCTCAGCTCCTACAAGTGGCACGTGTGGTTTGTTTGTCTCCGCGGGTGGACATCTCGCACTTCTGCTTTCCAGCCCTATTGGGTCTAGAATTTATGTTTTAGACACGTCGTGTTCTAGACTTTGTGTCCATGTAGAAACTTCAGGTCAGAGTCATGTAGAAACTTCAGGTCAGAGTCATATAGAAACTTCAGGTCAGAGTCATATAGAAACTTCAGGTCAGAGTCATATAGAAACTTCAGGTCATGGTCAGAGTCATATAGAAACTTCAGGTCAGAGTCATATAGAAACTTCAGGTCAGAGTCATATAGAAACTTCAGGTCAGAGTCATATAGAAACTTCAGGTCAGAGTCATATAGAAACTTCAGGTCAGAGTCATATAGAAACTTCAGGTCAGAGTCATATAGAAACTTCAGGTCAGAGTCATAAAGAAACTTCAGATCAGAGTCATATAGAAACTTCAGGTCAGAGTCATATAGAAACTTCAGGTCAGAGTCATATAGAAACTTCAGGTCAGAGTCATATAGAAACTTCAGGTCAGAGTCATATAGAAACTTCAGGTCAGAGTCATAAGAAACTTCAGGTCAGAGTCATAAGAAACTTCAGGTCAGAGTCATAAAGAAACTTCAGGTCAGAGTCATAAAGAAACTTCAGGTCAGAGTCATATAGAAACTTCAGGTCAGAGTCATATAGAAACTTCAGGTCAGAGTCATATAGAAACTTCAGGTCATGGTCAGAGTCATATAGAAACTTCAGGTCAGAGTCATATAGAAACTTCAGGACAGAGTCATATAGAAACTTCAGGTCAGAGTCATATAGAAACTTCAGGTCATGGTCAGAGTCATATAGAAACTTCAGGTCAGAGTCATATAGAAACTTCAGGACAGAGTCATATAGAAACTTCAGGTCAGAGTCATATAGAAACTTCAGGTCAGAGTCATATAGAAACTTCAGGTCAGAGTCATATAGAAACTTCAGGTCAGAGTCATATAGAAACTTCAGGTCAGAGTCATATAGAAACTTCAGGTCAGAGTCATATAGAAACTTCAGGTCAGAGTCATATAGAAACTTCAGGTCAGAGTCATATAGAAACTTCAGGTCAGAGTCATATAGAAACTTCAGGTCAGAGTCATATAGAAACTTCAGGTCAGAGTCATATAGAAACTTCAGGTCAGAGTCATATAGAAACTTCAGGTCAGAGTCATATAGAAACTTCAGGTCAGAGTCATATAGAAACTTCAGGTCAGAGTCATATAGAAACTTCAGGTCAGAGTCATATAGAAACTTCAGGTCAGAGTCATATAGAAACTTCAGGTCAGAGTCATATAGAAACTTCAGGTCAGAGTCATATAGAAACTTCAGGTCATGGTCAGAGTCATATAGAAACTTCAGGACAGAGTCATATAGAAACTTCAGGTCAGAGTCATATAGAAACTTCAGGTCAGAGTCATATAGAAACTTCAGGTCAGAGTCATATAGAAACTTCAGGTCAGAGTCATATAGAAACTTCAGGTCAGAGTCATATAGAAACTTCAGGTCATGGTCAGAGTCATATAGAAACTTCAGGACAGAGTCATACAGAAACTTCAGGTCAGAGTCATATAGAAACTTCAGGTCATGGTCAGAGTCATATAGAAACTTCAGGTCAGAGTCATATAGAAACTTCAGGTCAGAGTCATATAGAAACTTCAGGTCAGAGTCATATAGAAACTTCAGGTCATGGTCAGAGTCATATAGAAACTTCAGGTCAGAGTCATATAGAAACTTCAGGTCAGAGTCATATAGAAACTTCAGGTCAGAGTCATATAGAAACTTCAGGTCAGTCATAGAAACTTCAGGAAATGGTCAGAGTCATATAGAAACTTCAGGTCAGAGTCATATAGAAACTTCAGGTCAGAGTCATATAGAAACTTCAGGTCAGAGTCATATAGAAACTTCAGGTCAGAGTCATATAGAAACTTCAGGTCAGAGTCATATAGAAACTTCAGGACAGAGCATATAGAAACTTCAGGTCAGAGTCATATAGAAACTTCAGGTCATGGTCAGAGTCATATAGAAACTTCAGGTCAGAGTCATATAGAAACTTCAGGTCAGAGTCATATAGAAACTTCAGGTCATGGTCAGAGTCATATAGAAACTTCAGGTCAGAGTCATATAGAAACTTCAGAACATGGTCAGAGTCATATAGAAACTTCAGGTCAGAGTCATATAGAAACTTCAGGTCATGGTCAGAGTCATATTGAAACTTCAGGTCAGAGTCATATAGAAACTTCAGGTCATGGTCAGAGTCATATAGAAACTTCAGGTCAGAGTCATATAGAAACTTCAGGTCATGGTCAGAGTCATATAGAAACTTCAGGTCAGAGTCATATAGAAACTTCAGGTCAGAGTCATATAGAAACTTCAGGTCATGGTCAGAGTCATATAGAAACTTCAGGTCAGAGTCATATAGAAACTTCAGGTCAGAGTCATATAGAAACTTCAGGTCATGGTCAGAGTCATATAGAAACTTCAGGTCAGAGTCATATAGAAACTTCAGAACATGGTCAGAGTCATATAGAAACTTCAGGTCAGAGTCATATAGAAACTTCAGGTCATGGTCAGAGTCATATAGAAACTTCAGGTCAGAGTCATATAGAAACTTCAGGTCATGGTCAGAGTCATATAGAAACTTCAGGTCAGAGTCATATAGAAACTTCAGGTCATGGTCAGAGTCATATAGAAACTTCAGGTCAGAGTCATATAGAAACTTCAGGACATGGTCAGTACAGATAATTCCCACCGCTCACTCAGTTTTTCTGTCCCAGAGATGAAATGTGTCCAAAATAACACAGGAAAGTCCGTTAAGAAAGAAGTCTGCGATCTCAGCTCCTACAAGTGGCACGTGTGGTTTGTTTGTCTCCGCGGGTGGACATCTCGCACTTCTGCTTTCCAGCCCTATTGGGTCTAGAATTTATGTTTTAGACACGTCGTGTTCACACTTTTGAGGTCCATGTAGAAACTTCAGGTCAGAGTCATGTAGAAACTTCAGGTCAGAGTCATATAGAGAAGAAACTTCAGGTCAGAGTCATATAGAAACTTCAGGTCAGAGTCATATAGAAATTCAGGTCAGAGTCATGTAGAAACTTCAGGTCAGAGTCATAAAGAAACTTCAGGTCAGAGTCATAAAGAAACTTCAGGTCAGAGTCATAAAGAAACTTCAGGTCAGAGTCATAAAGAAACTTCAGGTCAGAGTCATAAAGAAACTTCAGGTCAGAGTCATATAGAAACTTCAGGTCAGAGTCATAAAGAAACTTCAGGTCAGAGTCATAAAGAAACTTCAGGTCAGAGTCATAAAGAAACTTCAGGTCAGAGTCATATAGAAACTTCAGGTCATGGTCAGAGTCATATAGAAACTTCAGGTCAGAGTCATATAGAAACTTCAGGTCATGGTCAGAGTCATATAGAAACTTCAGGTCAGAGTCATATAGAAACTTCAGGTCATGGTCAGAGTCATATAGAAACTTCAGGTCAGAGTCATATAGAAACTTCAGGTCATGGTCAGAGTCATATAGAAACTTCAGGTCAGAGTCATATAGAAACTTCAGGTCAGAGTCATAAAGAAACTTCAGGTCAGAGTCATAAAGAAACTTCAGGTCAGAGTCATAAAGAAACTTCAGGTCAGAGTCATATAGAAACTTCAGGTCAGAGTCATATAGAAACTTCAGGTCATGGTCAGAGTCATATAGAAACTTCAGGTCAGAGTCATATAGAAACTTCAGGTCAGAGTCATATAGAAACTTCAGGTCATGGTCAGAGTCATATAGAAACTTCAGGTCAGAGTCATATAGAAACTTCAGAACATGGTCAGAGTCATATAGAAACTTCAGGTCAGAGTCATATAGAAACTTCAGGTCATGGTCAGAGTCATATTGAAACTTCAGGTCAGAGTCATATAGAAACTTCAGGTCATGGTCAGAGTCATATAGAAACTTCAGGTCAGAGTCATATAGAAACTTCAGGTCATGGTCAGAGTCATATAGAAACTTCAGGTCAGAGTCATATAGAAACTTCAGGACATGGTCAGTACAGATAATTCCCACCGCTCACTCAGTTTTTCTGTCCCAGAGATGAAATGTGTCCAAAATAACACAGGAAAGTCCGTTAAGAAAGAAGTCTGCGATCTCAGCTCCTACAAGTGGCACGTGTGGTTTGTTTGTCTCCGCGGGTGGACATCTCGCACTTCTGCTTTCCAGCCCTATTGGGTCTAGAATTTATGTTTTAGACACGTCGTGTTCTACACTTTGTGTCCATGTAGAAACTTCAGGTCAGAGTCATGTAGAAACTTCAGGTCAGAGTCATATAGAAACTTCAGGTCAGAGTCATGTAGAAACTTCAGGTCAGAGTCATGTAGAAACTTCAGGTCAGAGTCATAAAGAAACTTCAGATCAGAGTCATATAGAAACTTCAGGTCAGAGTCATGTAGAAACTTCAGGTCAGAGTCATGTAGAAACTTCAGGTCAGAGTCATGTAGAAACTTCAGGTCAGAGTCATATAGAAACTTCAGGTCAGAGTCATATAGAAACTTCAGGTCAGAGTCATATAGAAACTTCAGGTCAGAGTCATGTAGAAACTTCAGGTCAGAGTCATAAAGAAACTTCAGGTCAGAGTCATAAAGAAACTTCAGGTCAGAGTCATAAAGAAACTTCAGGTCAGAGTCATAAAGAAACTTCAGGTCAGAGTCATAAAGAAACTTCAGGTCATGGTCATATAGAAACTTCAAGTCAGAGTCATATAGAAACTTCAGGACAGAGTCATGTAGAAACTTCAGGTCAGAGTCATGTAGAAACTTCAGGTCAGAGTCATATAGAAACTTCAGGTCAGAGTCATATAGAAACTTCAGGTCAGAGTCATATAGAAACTTCAGGTCAGAGTCATGTAGAAACTTCAGGTCAGAGTCATAAAGAAACTTCAGGTCAGAGTCATAAAAGAAACTTCAGGTCAGAGTCATAAAGAAACTTCAGGTCAGAGTCATAAAGAAACTTCAGGTCAGAGT